TTTGGATGTCATCTGTCGAGATTTTCCCTGACGCGTTGGACAGATCTTACTGAATGCAAAAGAAGAGCGTCGCCAGTCGATGGCCTAGAGGGCGCAGTAAAACAAAATCCTCGTTTTTGCAAATTTCTGGAAAACTTGACCCTTAAGGCAATTTTTTAATCTCTAGCTTACTCTCTGCCCACTCTTGGCTACGCTCTTGCTAGAACATATTTTACGAAAATATATTCACTTGTATACAGGATATCTAAAAAAAGTGCGAGTGCAAAGTATTCCTTTCTTGTCACTGTAGTAGTTTTGATAGTTCCAGAGCAAAGTTCCAGAGAAATAAACTAACCAATGAAAATATATACCTTAGAGTATATTTTAAAAAATAACTAAAAATCTACAAACTGACGACAGTGTTTACCACAGAGTTAAAAATTAAGTGTTTACAGTTGGTTTATACTAACTTTATCATGAATATCGTAATCGTACATTTTACAGGGGGTTCAAAATTCGATGCCGAACTTGGTTAATAATAAAAAGAAAATAATTTCTTATTTTTTAAAAGGAACGCACTGAAATGTTGACATACTGACTTTTTCACCTAATGCCCCGTATTTTACTTTTACGAAAACCCAAGAAAAATTACTGTATGTTTTAACCACGTTCATATGAAATTTTGAGCACTCTCATAACATTTATAATCGTTAGTACAAACCACCTGTAATAAATACCAAGCATTGTTTCTATTTCAAGCCTTGTATTTTTATTTTTTTACAAAGTGTCTACAAAATACAATACAATCGAAAAAAAAACTGCGTCAGCGATGGCTGTGAAATGAAGATCGCTGTCATTTTATACAAGGTGTCCCAGAAATAAGTGCAAGTATTTTAAGTGGTAGTATACCCCAGAATCACGCCTATGAGGTTTTTTTCGCGAAAAAAATATTTTGAAAATTCGGAATTTTTTGAAAAATTTTGTGCATTTTTTTTTAGTTTTTAGTTAAAAAAAAACATCATTTCTTGATAATATGGCAACATAGGTAGTAAAATAAATTTACAAGAAAGAAAATCCAGAAAAGATCCAGTGGTTCTCAAAACTTGAGCAAAAAATCATTTTTTTTTGGAAAAATTCGAAGTAAAATAACTCCGTTATTTTTAACTTACTTATACTTGCACGTATTTCGGGGACACCCTGTATATAAACTTATGTGGGAAATATCGTTATTCATTTCCATCGATATTCATTTCCAAACCAACTGGACGCTGTTTTTTTTCGATCATACGGTATATGTAGAGTTTTCAGAGATATTTAGTGCGGTTTACGGTTTACAGGTTTCCTTATTGGAGGTAGGAGAAAACTTTAAATGTACTTTACATGTAAGGTTTTACCTGAACTGCCAGAGAGTGAAATAAAAATAAACAAAAGACGATCAGAATCCTAAGAAATATATATAACTTAATTTTTTATCGCACTAAATATCTCTGAAAACCCTGCACCTATCCCTATATGTTATAGACTTATTTCTCTAGAACTACCAAAACAAAAATTTAGTGTAAAAACGTGGGAAAAAGGCATTTAATAAAAACATCCACACTTTTTTCAGACGCCCTATACAACTAAACATGAAAAAAAAAACTGAAATAGGACCTAGTGCACAGTTTATGGTCTGCACTTAAAATTAATTTAAGACGCTTTGTTGCTGGACCCTGTATATTTTTTACTGTGGTTATCAACACTCACTGTCTATGCAAATGAGACAAAAAGCCTATGTCAAATTACAGGGTGACCCGGTATACTAAAAAGACCTAATATAAATTTTTCTGTTTGCGATTTTCACTCCATTTTTTTTACAAATGACGATAATTAAAGTAGAGCACATATTGAAAATATTCTTATACATATACAGGGTAATACAAAAATATTTTTGTACTAATGTAGTTTTCCCTTTAAAAAACTAAAAATATTAATCTATAACAATTTATAGAGCTCATACTTTTTGTACCATTTTTGTTTAAGATTTTACTATTAATTTAAGTTATTTTTTAGACATTATATCGTTGGATAATAAAGTTAAAAATTATTTTTGACTTCAGTTAGATTTTCAGACATTTTTAAAACTTGTATTGTCCAATTTTCTAAATAAAATAAATACATATAGTTTTGAAAAAGGCACTATGTACTTCTATTTGAAAAACATAAAATAATATTGATGTTATTTAAAATTTGAAAATTTCTGTAGTAAATAAAAAAAAAAAAAAAAAAAAAAAAAAAAAAAAAAAAAAAAAATTTGCAAACATTAAGCCTAAAATTATAGTATAATCACCGTGTAGATCTATTAAAACAAAAGTTTTTTTTTTTTTAAAATATTTTTGCAATGAAAGAATAATGAAAAACTGCTAACGTGTGGGATTTAAAGATTCGGTTATACTGGGTCACCCTGTATATTTTTTTTTTTTTTTTTTTTTTTTTTTTAAAATTTAAACAATATATTACATTTGTTTAACAAAAAAGCAAAAAAAAAGAATTACAATCATCTAATAGTTGTTGGAGGTTTCTAAAAGATTTTTAAGAAAATATAGGCAACCAACAAATCATCTTAAATTACAAAAACCCATATACATATGAAATTAGTTAAATATATTATATGCAAAAACCGAAATTTTTTTGATAAAAGTTTGATTAACCACAGCAAGTGGGACACATCAATTAATAATATTTCATAATCAATATTAGGTGTATTCAATCAAATTGAGGAGCTGTTTTATCTTTATTTCTTCTTATAGCACAATTAAAAACTTCTAAAAATTAGAACAACAAACCAAAATATGTATAATTACTTTACTTTGCAAATTAAGTTATTTAATAAATATTTGTACTGAAAAAAACACCTTATATTGATTTATATTTACATATAAAATTTTATTTTTATTGTAACATTAAAAAATGTGCGACACTAAAGTTTTATCTAAGATACAAAACAAATATTAGAAAAAAACTGCGTAAAACAATTAGATGTACATACATGTAGCATCCATTATAATTTCATTAACAACATATAATTTTATATTAATATATATACTGTACTTTATTATTAGATGTAAAAATAATAATATATATATTTTATTAACTCTGTTGTTTTATTGTTATTCTAAGAGGGTATTTGTAATATTTTACAACGATCTAAATTTTGATATTACGTTAAACCACTAAGGGTAATGAAGGACCAACTGAAAAACGATATGCCACATATAAAACTAGAATTATTATTTTTTGGGTAAAAATGTGTTTTATCTTAAAATTATATATTTAACAAATATGTATATACAAGTGTTAATTTTTATATCATGGCTTATGATATTTCAATTGATCCTACAGTAAATATATTATATATTATATACCCTAGCAGACGATTTTCATATGTAAAATTCATAAATTTTAGGAGATAAAGTTTGTTTCGTATTTTATAAAAAAATTATATAGCAGTAATTAATTATCTTAAACGCAAGTGTAACGATTTTATTAACACATAGCAAACAGCAGTTTGTATTTTTCAGAGACATTTTAAATACTAAAATTTAGAGAAAAAATTACTACTGGAAATAAGATTTTTTTAAATAATAAGAACATTACCACAACATTACATAAGAATCGATTAGGCAACCAGTAATATTAAAGGTTGAAATTCATGTATTTATTTTCAATTGAACTCTTCTAAAATAATTAATTTATGCAATTTTGATTGGATTACTTTTATTGCATTTAAAAAAATAATTTTAGTATAAATAAATATACTTGAATCGCACAGTATATCTACGAATATGCTCACACAATATATTTGTTAAATAAATTAAAATGAAAATATTAAAAAGAAAAATATTTTTATAAGAAATGTATTTTTTATGAAAATGTTCAAAAAAAAGCTTTTGCTCTTGTAAAGACGTTCATACTGTATATACATACTGACGGACATACTGTATATAAAGAGAATTCTGCACATAAAAAAGAAAACAATGCATGAAGTGCATTGTGTGTTAAAGAAACAAACTTTATCGCTAAAATTTAAATACAAAATAGATATAAACATGTTTTAAAATCATATAAATTGATTAAAAACATCTGTGTTAGGGTACTACCAAAAATAATTCTCAAAAGCAAAAAAAAACTATATGAACACAAGTATCCAAAATTGATTTAATAAAAAAATATTTCAAAAAAATAAACACTAATAAATCATTTCTACTGGCTTAACATTGGTATTCAATAATCACATTTAATGTTTATGAAAAAATATTAAATGACCATTAACTCTTAAATTATCGTCCGGTTGAAGATATAGTTAGTTAAATTCTATAAAATTTAGTTTTGCGTTAATACAATAAATGAAATATTAAAAAATATAAACTTTAAAACCAAAATAATACTTGTGTTCATAGGGCTATAGTGACGCAGATGCGCAAGTATAAAAATTATAATTTTGATAATCTGGAATAAACTTAGAGAAGTTTAGGAAAATATAAATAATACAAAATAAAATAAATTGGAAATGATACAACCCTATAAAGATTGTTTTTTAAATCTTTTAAAAATACCTTTGACGAAATCCAGAATACAATATAGTTTTATTTAATAACAATTTAATGATTGAACTAATGGAAGTAAAATATAAGATAGGTGAGATTGAAAAAAAGCTTGAAATGAAAAATTATAACAGATTAGTATAATGTTGCTCAACATATCCTCCATAAAGATTATTGCATTGATTTGAATGATTTAAAATTAATCAAACATCCCTCAAACTAGAGGCAACACAAAGCATAAATATAAAGACAATATCAACAGGGATAATGGTCCTATTCATAAAATAAAGTGTATTGCTCTTAACTAGTGTTTTATATTGCAAAAGCTTAAGAAAAAATAAAGGTTTCTATCCAGATTATCAAAATTTTACAAAAAATTAACATTAAAATGACGCCTGATGTAATTATATAGTAAGAGGATAAAAACCAATAAACAAATTTATTGAAACAATAACACTATTAATGAAGCTAACGAACCTTGGTGAGGCATTGAGGAGTATTGAGTCTGCTTTATGTTGAGTGAAAGAGGAAAGTGAGGAGTAGGAGCAACTGTTGGGGATATCCATTGTTAAGAAAATGCAGAGATATCTAAAAAATAAAATAAAAATTATATTAAAAAAAGGAATAAAACGATCTATGCAAAAATTAAAATAAATATATTTTTATTAATGCAATAACTATGTTTTTTAAATTAATAATTTGTATATACCCTAGGAGAAAAAAAGCAGCATTATAGTGGCTTTTGAAATAACAATTGATGAAAATTATTTCTGCCAGGTAGACCAGAATATATCATTTATAAAAAATTGGTATAAAAAATTATAAAAAATTAAAGACAGAAATGTTAAAAAAATTCAAAGTTCATATTTTTTTAAATTAAGGTTTTCACCTTTGTATAATTATCGGTATGTTTGAAACCTTTTTCCTTTTTTTTATTTAAATATTATTTTTGACAAGTTTTTATATCAATTTTTAATAAGTGACATATAGGAATAGACGTTGATCTCAGAGACCTGTGCAGCTTGAATATTACTTATTGCTTGAAAATTAAAACTTATCATAATTTTCAAGCTTGTCGACGAAATTTAGTTAGAAAAAAAGAGATAAATAACTTACCATTGATATAGGACTGCGACCACTGTTCAACAGCTATTAAGCACAGTCCTAAATTGTCTTTCTGAGTCTTTTCTTGCAAGTTTCATTCCACTTATAGTTTTTTGATGTCCATCATAATATTTGCAGATAGTACAGCTTGTGGATTTTTAACAGCAATTGTCCCAGCATATACCTAAAATTCCAAAAAAATATTAAGTAAATTTTTACTGTACTAATTTTTGAAGATTTTTGAAAACAAGATTAATAAAAAACAAAACAAAAAGATTAATCAAAATTATATTTATTAAAATATATATTTCTGGCATTTATTCTAGAGGGAACTTTATCGTCAGGGTGTGTGTGACGACGAGTTTTGTAATTCTAAACCAAACAGTTTTGAAATGTTGACAATTTGGCGAAGGATTTTTTTTTAAATAGTTAATTGTGTGTTGTAATCAGTATAAATTGTGAGAAAATAAATCCGTTAAGTATTTTATCCTGAGTTTAAATTAGCGGACCCACGGAATCCCTAACAATATGCAACCAGTAATACAGTATGAGCATTTTATTTTGTCCTGCTTATTTTTTAACTGTTATTGGCTGTTCTAATATTTGAACAAAAGAGCTTGAATATTAGAAAATTTTAGAAATTTTCAAGCTGCTCAATGAAATTTTATAAAAGATAAATAAATAACTTACCATTGATGAAGAACTGGGTCCGCTCTAGCAGCGATTAAGTAACAACAGTTCAAAATGGTATTCCTCGATTTCTCCTGCACAAGTTTCATTCCATTTAAATCTCTTTGATGACCACCATAAATATTACTTGCAGCTAGTACGACTTATTAATTTCTAATAGCAATTGTCCTTTCGTATACCTAAATAAAAAATATATTAGGTAATTTTTTGTTATAGCAATTTTTGAAGCTATCAAAAAACAGACAATAACATAAATTATCTTAATATTTGGAACTATGTAAAAATAACAAATAAATAGTACAAATTTTTTTTATATTAATTTGAGTAAGTTATAAAGAGTTATATAAAATTAAAAGAAAGACTTTTATTGATAACTTATTATGACTTATTAATGCTCAAAAAATTAAATATCGAATTTACTAGATATATATATAAAAGTAAAACTAATATTGAGCAATAACTCGGAAATTATTATATTTATTTTGGTGGTAACTAAAAAAAAACTATGCAACCAGTAATACAATCTTAGCATTGTCCATTTAATTTTTTTTCCATTTTATGAGCTGGAACATTCATTAAAAAAACAAATTATAGGGTTTCCTGTCAAGTTTTAGTACATTTTATTGTTATAAATATGATACACTGCCATTTGACACCCACTTAAGTTATTGGTAGAAAATGTATAATTTTTTTTAAATAAGATACCCTGTAAATTTAAAAAAATTGATAAAAATAATATACGAAAAAAAACACATAAAAACTCGAGTTAAAACCTTCTAATTTCTTTTTTTTTCAATGAAAATTCTACCTTCCCAAATAAAAAAAGTTAAAACTACCTGTTAAAATTTGGGACAAAATAAAATGCCAACCCTGTACAAACTGCAGAGTACGAATATTCCGCAAAATTTAATTATTTTACAGAATTTTCAAGCTTATCAATGCCATTTCATAAAAATATATACAGGGTATTTCACAAAGGTTTTAAAATGAAATTTAGTCCAAATTAAACTAGTTATAGACTTAGGAAAATATATACAGTAAAAAACTTTTAATGAACCAGTTGTATGAAAATCCCTGTATATAAAATGATCAAAATAACTTACCATTATTAAAAGGCAACGGATGTCGAGCCCAACCCTGGTTCTATTAACTTTACATCCTGAAACAACTGACATTTTTCTGTATCCAATCAAAAATGTTCCTTCAAAGCTGCAACTTGTTCGTTGAGTTGTGACAGGAGCTGTCAAAATGTCCATTACCATCAATTTGTTCAGCTCACTAAAAGTACAAAAAAAATTAAAAGATAAAAAAAATTAAATAATAAAAAAAAATATGACGTCAGTTTGTTCATACTAGTTCATACTAAATTTATCATAATTTTCAACCTTGTCAAAGAAATTTAATAAAAAAAAAGAGATAAATAACTTACCATTGATGAAGGACTGGATCCACTCTAACAGCTATTACGTATACAGTCTAAAATGGTTTTCCTTTATTTTTCCTGCAAGTTTCATTCCATTTAAAGCTTTTTGATGTCCATATCTTCAAGGTGTGTGTGAAGAGTTCTGTAATTTTAAACCAGTTTTAGCAAATAAAACCTGAATAGCAAATGTTGACAATTTGGCGAAGGATTTTTTTAAATAGTTAATTGTGTGTTGTAATCAGTATAAATCGTGAGAAAATAAATCCGGTAAGTATTTTATCGTGAGTTTAAATTAGCGGACCCCCGTAAACCCTAACTATATGCAACCAGTAATACAGTATCAGCATTTTATTTTATCCTGCCTATTTTTAATAGTTGTTGGCCGTTCTAATATTGGAAGAAAAAGAAAAGCGCTCGAATATTAGAAAATTTTAAACATTTTCAAGCTGTCCAATGAAATTTTATAAGATAGATAAATAACTTACCATTGATGAAGAACTGGATCCGCTCTAACAGCTATTAAGTAACAGCAGTTCAAAATGGTTTTCCTCGATTTCTTCTGCACAAGTTTCATTCCATTTAAAGCTTTTTTCTGTCAACCATAATTTTTGCAGATAGTATGGCTTGTGGATTTTTAACAGCAATTGTCCCATCGTATACCTAAAATTCCAAAAAAAATTAGGTAAATTTTTACTATACCAATTTTTGAAGATTTCTGAAAACAAGATTAATAAAAAATAAAAATAAAAAAGATTAAACAAAACTATATTTACAAAAATATATATTTACGGCGTTTATTCTAGTGGGAACTTTAACATATCTTCAAGGTGTGTGTGAAGAGTTCTGTAATTTTAAACCAGTTTTGAATAGCAAATGTTGACAATTGACAATTTGGCGAAGGATTTTTTTAAATAGTTAATTGTGTGTTGTAATCAGTATAAATTGTGAGAAAATAAATCCGTCAAGTATTTTATCGTGACTTTAAATTAGCGGACCCACGTAATCCGTAACTATATGCAACCAGTAATACGGTATCAGCATTTTATTTTGTCCTGCCTATTTTTAATAGTTGTTGGCTGTTCTAATATTGGAGCAAAAGCGCTCGAATATTAGAAAATTTTAAACATTTTCAAGCTGTCCAATGAAATTTTATAAGATAGATAAATAACTTACCATTGATGAAGAACTGGATCCGCTCTAACAGCTATTAAGTAACAGTAGTTCAAAATGGTTTTCCTTGATTTCTTCTGCACAAGTGTTTCATTCCATTTAAATCTCTTTTATAACCACCATACATATTATTTGCAGCTAGTATGTCTTATCGGTTTCTAATAGCAATTGTCCTATCGTATGCCTAAATAAAAAAAATATTAGGTAATTTTTTATTATAGCAATTTTTGAAGCTATCAGAAAACAGACAATAACATAAATTATGTTAATATTTACAACTATGTAACATAACAAACAAATAATAGACATTTTTTATATTAATTTGAATAAGTTATAAAGGTTATATAAAATTAAAAAAAAACTTTTATTGATAACTTCCGAAATTATATAAAAAATTGTAAAATTCCTTGATAAGAAAATAAAGCATAATAATGAGTTAACAATAAACCAAAAAATAAATATCTAATTTACTAGATATATAGAAAAAGAAAAAAATAATATTTAGTAATAACTCGTAAATTTATTGTGTTATTTTGGTGATAACTTTAATAATTTTGAAATAAATTAAAAGATATGCAACCAGTAAAACACTGTTAGCATTTTATTTTTTTCCACTTTAACTGGCTATAACTTTTTAATTTTTTGAGCTCTAATATTAATTAAAAAAACAATAATATTAGTTTTCCACTCAAGGTGTTATTATTATAAATGTCATACACTCTCAAGTATCACCCAGTTATTGGTAAAACTGTATATTTTTAAGTAAAATGCCCTATAAATTAAAAAAAGAGAAATAAACATAATAATTTTGGTGTATTTTTTATTAAATCCTGATAAAACTATTTATTACAATGAAAGGGCACGAGTGTCTTTCAGAAATTAAAAAAATGTGCCACCTAATATACTTTTAATGTATAAGGTCTTCCATTTAACCAAATACACATTAAAACTTGAGCTAAAACTTTATAATTTCTTTTTTTTAATGAATGTTCTAGCTTCTAAAATAAAAAAAAGTTAAAACCTGTTAAAATTTAGAACAAAATAAAATGCTAACACTGTACAAACTGCAGAGTATGAAAAATTTAATTATTTGACAGAATTTTCAAGCTTATCAATGCCATTTTATGACAATATATACAGGGTATTTCGCGTAACTAGTCCATTAAAAATGTTTTAAATTCAAATTTAGTCCAAATTAAACTAGTTATAGACTTAGAAAAATATATACAGTAAAACACTTTTAATAAACCAGTTGTATGAAAATCCCTGTATGCAGGGTTGTTCACCACATACGACACGGAGTATTGTAGCTAAACGAATAGATTTTTACAAATTGTAAGTTTTCGGTTCGTTGAAGGACTATTAGGGGATACAAAGTGTCCCAAATAAATAAAAAATATCAAAGTTATATTTTTTTAAATGGAACACCCTGTATATTATTACATTTTTAGTTTCTATGATTAAAATAAAGGTAAATTTGATTAAGGTTTATCACCCTTAAACCTTACCGTTTTTTAAATATTTTCAATTTTGTGAAATTGCAGTAAAAATTTTAAGGCTTCATTTCTCCAAGGGTATCAAAGTTTTTAATACTAGATATTTACTGAAATTTAATTATTGATCAGTTATTGTGTTGTAATAATAAAAATAATACTACCTCATACAGAGTGTCTAAAAATGTATTTTAAATAATTTCCAGCTTTAAATGGCAATAACTTGTTTAATTTAAATAGAACACCCTGTATGTTTTAGGAGAATCAGATGCACAATTTAATTGTTCATCAAATTGTATTATACCATTTTTACCTATCCCTTCAAGTTTTCGTAGAAAATGCATTTTCTTATAATTTAGACCTCATTTATCAAAATACCCATGGAATATTGACATTTTAGATTGTTTTTAAAGCAACAAATGTACAGGTGCTAAAAACGATAATATTATACCAGTATTGGTATACAAAAATAAAACTATTTATATCTTTATAAAAGAGTAACATTAATTATAAATATACCGCCATTATTTCCGCCAAAATATTAATTAATTACATATTTAATTGTATTAGTTAATAAATTATTCTAAATAAATGTGGATTTGGAATCAGAAATCAATATAATAATAAGTTATGAAAATGAACGTCTCTGTTGTTATAAATAAGCATCCGTCAAAAAATGAAATAACATTTTTAAGGTGTTACTTTTTACCACGCTGTCTAATACACATACAAAATTCAGTTTTTTAGTATTTGGAGCAATTATTATTAATCAACGTAAACAGTCAATTAATGTAGTTTGAATACTGGGATCATATTATTTTGTTCTCTTTTACAAATACTTAAACATTTTTTTTTATTTTTTAATAACATAAACGAACTATATCGACAATATTAGTATCCGTACCATTTAAAAATTTGTTACATGTTTAAAAATAATCAAAAATGTCAATATTCCATGGGTATATTGATTTTTGAGGTCTAAATTATAAGAAAATGCATTTTTTACGAAAACCTGAAGACATAGGTAAAATATGATACAATACAATTTGATAGACAATTAAATTGTGCATCTGATTCTTGTAAAATATACCGGGTGTTCTATTTAAATTAAACAAGTTATTGCCGTTTATAGCTAATTATTATTTAAAATAAAATTTTAAACACTCTGTATAAGGTAGTATAATTTTTATTAATGAAACACAAAATTTAGTAAATAGACAATATCAGTACAATATTTGGTTTTAAAAACTTAAATACGCCTGGGGAAATAAAGCATTAAAATTATTACTGTATTTTGACAAAAACCTAAATATTTCAAAAAGGGTAAGATTAAAATGCGGTAAACCTTAATCAAATTTATCTTTATTTTAATGGTAGAAACTAAAAATGTAATAATATACAGGGTGTTCCATTTAAAAAAATACAACTTTGATATTTTTTATTTATTTGGGCCACTCTGTATCTTGTAAAAATATTTTTAAATTGTAGCTCTAATAGTCCTTCAATGAACCCAAAACGTACAATTTGCAAAAATCTAAGAGTTTAGCTACGATACTCCGCGTTGTATGTGGTGAACAACCCTATATAAAATGATCAAAATAACTTACCATTATTAAAAGGCAACAGATGTCGAGCCCGACCCTGGTTCTATTAACTTTACATCCTGAAACGACTGACATTTTTCTGTATCCAATCAAAAATGTTCCTTCAAAGCTGCAACTTGTTCGTTGAGTTGTGATAGCAGCTGTCAAAATGTCCATTACCATCAATTTGTTCAGCTCACTAAAAGTACAAAAAAAATTAAATAATAAAAAAAAATTATGACGTCAGTTTGTTCATACTAAATTTATCATAATTTTCAACCTTGTCAAAGAAATTTAATAAAAAAAAAGAGATAAATAACTTACCATTGATGAAGGACTGGATCCACTCTAACAGCTATTACGTATACAGTCTAAAATGGTTTTCCTTTATTTTTCCTGCAAGTTTCATTCCATTTAAAGCTTTTTGATGTTCACCATAATATATTATCTGCAACTAGTACTACTTGTTAACTTCCTAACAGCAATTGTACCGTTGTATACCTAAAATTGAAAAAAAATATTAAATAATTTTTTATATCAATTTTTTAAAACATAAAGAAATATTCAAAATTATGTAAAAAAATAATAGCTATTTTTTATATAAATTTAAATAAGTCATATTAAACAAACAATAAACAATAAAGATCTTAGATAGACTTAAAATTAGTTAATTTTCTCTAATAAAAAATAATTATAATTAATATAATATTTGCGGTTTTAATGATCGAAAAAAATATAAATAAGGTATCTACTTTACTAAAAATATCAAAGTAAAAAAATCAACTTATATTTACTCGGTATGTAAAATTTTATTGCGTGTATCTTAGTGGAAACTTGAATAATTATTAAAAAAAGATTTAAAAACTATGCATTTTTTCCAAGATCGCTGATATGCAACCAGTAATACAGTGTCTGTGTTTTATTTTGTCCCGCTTTTAAGTCTTTTTTATTATTGTTTTAGTTCACAAAAGAAAACAGAAATAGAGCCTGTTAATATTGAGCCAAAAGAGCTTGAATACGATGGAAAATTTAATATTTTTATTAGATTTTTAAATTTTATAAGAATAAGTTGAGAGGCATAACTTACCATTATTAAAAGGCAACAGGTGTTGAAGTCAATCCAGTAAATGGCATTTTTCTGTGTCCATTAAAGATTTTCCATTAAAACTGGAACTTCGACTGGAAACAGCTGTCAAAACGTCCATTAATACCAATTTGTATTGCTTACTAAAAATACAAAAAATAAATAAGTAAATTTTTATAGTCAGTTTCTTCACATTTTGGAATAAAAAAATATGTGTTTTTTAATATGTTAGGTAGATATTAAAAAATAAACGCAATAGTAACCCTTTAAAATATTGTCAAATATTCATAGATTTTTACAAAAAGAAAACATACCAAATAAAATTAAAATTGTCTGATACAAATTTGTAAATAACTACAAAGATTGAAAAAAATATATTAATATATTTTCAATCTCAAACATATTTTATTTCGAATTTGAAGCCTACAATTTTGTAGTAAAATACAAAAATTGTAGCCTTAAAAAATAAAAAAAAAATAAAAATAACTTACCATTTTCATAGTACAATGGTAATGAAGGCTAATCAATCTAAGTACTATTGATTGTATCTTGAAATTGACATTTGTGGACAAGTTTTTCACTAACGTTTAATTCAAAAAACATTTCTTGACATTCCTCAAAGGTATGCATAGTAGTAACTCATTTGCAGATTTGTAACAGCAACTGTTAACGCCCAGTACATCACTCGAACAGATATCTAAAAATTAAAATAAATAGGAAAAATTGTAGTATCAAATTAGATTAATTTAAATAAAAAAAAAACGAAAAAGATAATTTTCAAACGTTCGAGAAGCAGCCGCTATCTAAAATACGGTTAGTTTTTGAATAGCAAATGTTGACAAAATGGTGAAGGATTATTAGATAGTTAATTATGTGTGTATATAGTGAGAAAATAAATTCGTTAAGTATTTTATCGTGAGTTTAAATTAGCGGACCCACAATCGATAACAATACCTATTAAAATATATGTGTATAAATTCAAAATATTAAACTTGTAGAACTTGTAAAACTTAAAAAAAAGAACATGATTTGTTAAAACTTACCATTTTTGAAAGATATCTGTGTTGTGGAAGCCAATTTAAGGTCCTGGTACTACTGCAGCCTAAACTGGTCTTTAATGAGCTTCTTCCCAGTTTAAATTATGTAAAAACTTCTTTGGAGTTCCTAATAATTCATACAAGGTGTTATACCAGCTGCCATTTTACATTTCCACCAATAGATAGGCTTGTATAATACGCAAATAAATGAAACTTGATATACAAGATATCAATAACATCTATAAAAAAATAAAAGTTGTGATAAGTATTTACTTTTTGTAACTAGATGAAAAAAATTACCTTAATACAGTTGCACCAAATTTCATTCAAAAAACTTCCATTACAGCGAACAAAATCCTCCTCCTTTCCTCGAAAATTTTCTATCTCTTTCCTTCTATTTCAAAGTGATCCTCCTCCATCTTCTTTGTCCTCTTCTATTTTCCAACTCTCACCAATTCTTATTCAACTACTTATACAACTAACTTATACAAATTTCAGGCGTCTTACAAACATTTTTAAAAAAGGGGGAAAAGGGATATAATGCTACAACAAACGACTACGCTAGCGCACCTACCTAAAAAAAGAAAAACACTTTTTTAGTAAAAGAAAATGATAAATATAAAGTTATATAAATTTACCTGATGGCATCTAGAAGACGGCCCCAATCCTGCTGTTGTCCCCCCAAAAAATTCATTCCAAAGCAGTTTAGTACTAAAAAGATTTATGCAGGAACAAACTGATTTTAATTTTAGTAACAAAAATAAATTACTAATACTTTAATTCTCATTATAATGTAAAATTACATTATTTACGTTTAATTAAAAATCACCATTAAAAAAATTAAACAATATTATCAATTTTAAAATAAGACCTCAGTTATTTTCAAATATAATAGAAAAACAATATGCTACCTAATTGTGTCTCTTTAGAGTTATTTTTTTATTACCCATTTATTATTACTAAAAAAACTTTATATTAAAGCCTTGTATAGAGTAAGAAAAAAAATAAAAATGAATGTGAAAATTGCAAATTAAAAAATGAGTACTTAATGCGACATTCTGTAAATGTAGAGAACCTAAAGTTACTGCTTTGGAACCACGACGCGAACCGACTTTTGAAGTTCTCCAAGCCATACCGTATCACCTGTAAGAGAAAAACCTGAAACAAAAAACAAGCTACAGACAACAAAAAAAAACAATGTAAAAATATGAAAACTCACCATCGCACCTTGCTTAAGTTCATTTTCAGTCCCACCATAATAATTATACGGCGAAAAAAACAGTGGCGTCTCACTGCTATGGGGCACATCGAATGCCCCCAACTCCATGAACGTCGGTCGATTCTGTAGAGTTGACAATAAACACGTTTTCCAGGTATTCGACGGTGCCTGGAACAATCCGAAATTTTTTGGGACTGATCATATGCAGCATGTAGACAGATTTTCTGACTTCTTCATTCTTGTTTTTTAAAATCGCGCTGCGAACCCGGGTTGTCCTAAAAAAATGAAAAAAAAATAAGTAATGAAAAAAAAAATTAGTTTTATAAGTAACTACAAGTTAAATTAGAAAGTTATTTTAAATTAAATAATTAATTAAATTAGAATTTAAACTTATATCTACTATATAAGTTTTAAAAAAGTTGCTCTAATTACTATACAAGTTATTCTACTTTAAATTGAAGCTCATGTAACAAAAAAACTAAAATATACAACACTTATATGAAAAGAATTTTGATTGCTACATGGTGGCATAAAAAAGTTATTTGGTAGAGAGTACAGTAAAAGTTTACAATTTAAATGTAATATAAAAAAATTAGACTTACTTTTAACAGGTTTAAGTTAGGCCTGGTTATGCTCGCCTCCTCCCGACATTTTCTGCCTTCAAAATTCGACGTGGGGCAGTCCAAGAGAAAAAACAAAAAATGTTTGCACGACCCGCCTGCGAGTGTGTGCTGGTTGCCTTCCTTATGCAGATTCGACCCATTGGTCGACGATTAAGCCTCACCAGTCAGTTCCCATCCCAATTAAGCCGCCTCGTCTGGGGTCACCCTCGTCACCCGTCGGACGGACATCCACCGGGACCCCCTACAGGCGGACCCCTCATCATCTTCAATGTGTCCGATATCCCGCCCCTGCCTCTTCGAGGGTCACGGAATACGTGCACGAAGAAATCTCGGAGCTTGGGTGCCAGGTTGTATCCGGCCGAAGCCTCTAGCATTAGAACACCTAGCTCGTAAATCAGAGGGTGGTGACTCCCTTGGGTACCTCTGCATGCTACACAGGTCATCGATGCCCGAACATCGGGGTTAGGGGGTGACCCAAGAAGTCTCCTCTCTTGGGGAAGGCCGCGCCGCGCTCTGGAGTCATCTTAAGCCGGGGATCCACACCGACAAAAACACTGTTAACCAACCGCATCAGCTAATGAAATTCACTAATGTTGAATTAGGAAATTTTATTAACCAACACAGAGAGCTAGCAATGCTCGTGTGAGTGGGGAAGGAGTGTGTGGTGTTGTAGTATTAATATAACGCGCCTAAAAAACGAAAAAATATTGGAATACCTATAAAAATATTATCGAACATCTATAAAAATATTACGACAATATATAAATAGGTATATTTATTTTAAATATGAAAAAGGAGATGCTCCATTTATACCTCAGCAAAATTTTATAAGATTTTTCCTTGATTATTATACCAAAAATGTCAAAAATATAAAGATGTTAGGTATATAACATAGAAAAAAGGGATATAAATTTGATGAATATGGTCAAAATCCAAAGAATTTTTTCCATGATGTAACACATAAAAAAATAAAAATACACAAGATGTTTTTAGAGTTGTAACATATATAATTTAGAGCTAAAAGTTAAACCTACAGTGTTTCAAATAAATAAAAAATATTAAAGTTATATTTTTTTTAACATTGAGACATCCTATATATATTATTACATTTTTAGTTTCTACTATGAAGACACAAAAACATTCTATCAAAATTTACCTCAAAATCATACTGACTGTTTTTGAAATATTTTAATTTTTATAAAAATTCAGTAACAATTGATTTATTTCTTCAATGCAAATTTACAACTAATACTGAATTAGCAAAAATCATTTGTCAACATTAATACTATTTTTTAACATGTAATATTTCATAACGCGCTTTAAAAGAGAAATATGTTTTAAAATAGAAAATGCTGAAACCTAATATAAGTATGTAGGATTCTTAAATAATAAAAATACGTAATAAAATTCCTAATGAACCTATATACCTATTTAAAACGTAAATACAAAAAACCTATATACTCATTCAAAATATTGTTAAAATGCGCCATATTATATTTTTAAAAATAAAGAAAACTCCAAGTATGTCCTATAAAAAGAAATTTAAATTAAAAATAGCAATTTAGAAAAAATCAAGACATCGAATTCCAACAGGCGGCCATTTTATTTAAACATTCCTTGACCAAAAAAAATAAAAAAAAAATGAGAGATACATTACGTAATTTATCAAAAATGTAGTACTATTTTACCCTTATCTAACACGCAGTATAGAAAGTACCAAAAAATACATAGTTTTACATACTTATTTATTAATCTACGTATATTATTTAAACAATATTCTTAAAAATTAATAACTTAATGGGGAACATTGAGAAGAAGGCAGCCATGATGGATACTGCGAAATCCAAAAATTTTAAACTAAAATATCCCAAAAATACATAAAATTATGGGTACTCACTTTTTCAGGAGGCTAAGCAGGGCACTAGTAACAGATTACGCATAAATTGTGTACACTAAACGCACTTTTTCGTGAGAAAATTAAAAAATCCATGCAACCGACGAGAGGACGTGCGGATCCTTCGATTGCAAACGACAAAAGGAGGACCGGCGTTGCCAGATTGAAGTCATTCGTAACATTTAAGCTGATCATAAAATTAATTTATTTATTACTAATAAAATTGTTTATAGGAAAATTCTTCTAAATTAAGCTTAATTTTGTTCTCAAAAGTTATTATTTACTCAATACGTTCCACTGATATCGTTTTTTTACGTAAGGTAAAATATTTATTGTCATAAATAAGAAACAAATAGGTAATTATAAACATAAACACACAAAAATCATGAAATAAACATAAAATGAAGCTGCTTAAATACATTTTTCATGCTATAAATAAATCGAAACCAAGAATAAAGACTATAATGTTAGTACGTAGTTACAAGAAGAAATAAAAGAAATTTCTACAAAACAACATTACTAGTACTTGTTTTACTAAAAATATATAGAAATGGCCCTTACTATAGTGCCAGTGATCAATTTAAACTAATATAATTTCACAAAAATCATACAGAAAAAAAGATTTTCGGCATTTTTTACAATCCGACAACATCGAACGAGAATAAAATTCAAAATCTCCACGCGACCGAAACTGACCAATCACGATCGAGTATTTTTTGCTCTTTGATGCCTGGATTTTAGCTTTTTTTAATAAACATGGATGGTTTTTATTAAAATTTCAATATTTTATATTGAAATTATCTGGCACGCACATAATTAGATAAACTATGAAATCATGCATTTCTTTAATATTTTAATAAATTATTAAGAAACAAGTGTTTTTATTCAATAAATATCCTTTAGTTTTATAAGAAACTAATTCTATATAGGTAGTTAAATAGTAAGAAATATGAGACAAATTATATAAAAAAATTGTAAAAAAATAACTTCATAAGTCCTTAACTTGACTCAACGTTGACAGCTCTTACCGGATGTATCCGTTCAACTTTTGACGCCACAATTTTCAAATTTGAAATTTAATTAAACTGAAAAATCCTTTGTTGAAATTATGGGTTCTCGTGCATAATATGTTTTTGATATATAGTATTACATAATGTTCTTTGTCATTCCCATTTTTTTTAACTACGCATTTGCAAATGTCTTGTTCTCGTTGTTTAATTTTAGGAAAGGTAAACACATATAGTTATTATAATTTTCAGATACATTAGCCAGGAAAAGATCTATTATACTAGAATTTATTTTTTTGGTCTTGTTTTTGAAACCTTTTTTTCACATCAATAAAAATTTTGTTTTGATTTTTGAATGTCTGTATTTGTCATGCTATTCTAAAAGACTGGGAATTATGGAGGATTAAAATCACTTTAAAAACTTTTGGTTAGAAAATGTCATTATAAGTGTTCCTCTTCTCAATTCTGTATAGAAAATTTGGTAATGGTGTGGATCCGGTGGCTGACCTTGAAACGAGTTTTTGCTGCATATAGTCACAGATACTACGCATGCGCAAATCGTCGATGTTGCCGGAGTGCAAGTTATTTTGGAATTATTTTCAGTAGAAAACAAATAATTTTCTTTTTCCTTCATATGTGTTTTTCAGTGTTTTTTGTCAATATATACCGTATGATCGAAAAAACGGCGTCCAGTTGGCTTGGAAATGACGATTGAGGACATTTCCCATATAAATTTACATAAAAAATGACAGCGATCATTTCATAGTCATCGCTGACGCTAATTTTTTCGATCATAGTACGGTATATTATTTATATTATTTTAATATTTCGCACACACGTGAACGCTTATTATGTATTTTCATAGTCAATAAAATTAAATAGAAATAAAACTCTAGATTCCTATAATTAATCTAATTGCTCTTGATTATTATGCAACGTTTAAAAAGGGCTTATTAAAAATTCGGGAAATTAAAAGGGAAGTGCCCAAGTTTTTTCTTTTTTTTTTTTAATTTTTAAATGCTGTAGCTCCATGTCAATTTCATAATAGTTTTTGTTAACATTCCATCAAAACTACGGAGGCCTTAAAAGGCCTTTTAGCCTCCGTAATTAAAGTTGTAGAATCAGCTTCAGCAACATTAACAGTTATATACCTTGTTTAATTCTGCTTATACATATATTGCATTAATTTTTCTGCTACCTTAAGATTTCTCTATTCTTACTCCTAATTTAGAATAGCATATATGATTTATAAACCATATTTTTCCTAATGGAAGGATGGAATAGGATATGCAAAATTAAGATATTTTAACATTTATTTTATAATATATAGTATTAAGATTAAGACATAACGAATATTATAAGAAAGATCTTAATATAAATCCCAAACTAACTAAGTCTTAATTTGGTCTTGTATAAACACAGGTATAAAACTAATAAGATCAAAACTCAACCTTCACCATATTGTCAAGATTTGGCATTATAGGAAATATAGGAAACAAGAAATTACAGTAAATTAAGAAAAGAATATCAAAGTACACGATATTAAATACTGTAATGTATTCTACGACACAAACCATCTCCCTTCTAAAGAGAAAAGATAAAACATATATAAAGCTTATTTTAGTCTTATCACCACACTTCGATAAAATATATGTCTAAAATTGCTATTAATCCATTAACTTGATATTTTTAAGAAATTATCATGGAAATTATGATACAAACATTATAATCAAAGTATATTATATTAGTAACATTATAGCACAGATAACACATAATCTGATTATGTGTTATCTGTGATTATAGGTAAAATGTTACCTCTATCTCCCATTGACGTGTATTGTTCTATAAGATTCGTCATGGTAGTACTTCAATACATCAATACATATAATCAAAACTATTGTTGCCTGTAAATAACTAGAAATTAAATAACTTGAAATAAAATAATTCTAATAAGTTTAAAACCATTAAGAAAAAATCCGTAAATGATAATTTTTAATTCTAATATAAATGTATAAATAAATGTTATTATTATTACAATTTTATATATCATTCCTTAATTTTGGATATCAAAATAAATCTGAAATTATAAAATTAATTATAGAATTTGTATTTATTATTGATTAACACTCAAAAATAAATTATCAACTGCAATTTGGCAACATCGACGATGTGCGCTTGCGTAGTATCGATGATCAAATGCAGCAAATATGGGCTTCAAGGTCAGCCACCGGATCCACACCTTTACCGAAAAGTTTAAAGTTTTGATGTCCTAAAAGGTACCAGACACTATTTATCCTTTGTGTGCCTATGTATTAACATCATATTAACATTTTTTACCTCTATAAAAATAAATGTTAATTTTTTTATATCAACTTTGTTCATGTCCCAAAACGACAGGCAAGAATTTTTTGATGAGTGTGAGAGAGACAGAGAGAGGGCTAAAAAAGGATAAACTTATGTAACGAGTGCGAAGAGAAAAACTTAGACAGAGACGAAGAATAAGTTCACAGAAATTCTCATAGATGGCGCCAACGCAGAATTAGTTTAGCTTTTGATACATAGAGGGCACCAGAATATGCGTTAGTTCAGAAAGTAATAAACAGATGTCGTTACAATATTTTTTGTACCACTATCACAACATAGATGGCGCTCGAGATATTAAATATAGGAATCTGTTTGTCGATAATATAAAGTGCGCCATCTATGAACGTAAAATTAAAGCATTAATTTAAAAATTTGGTTGAAAAAGCTGCTAAATATTCTTTTTTAGAGTTAAATAAAGTAAATATTTGAATAAATTAATTTTTAATATATGCTACGATTCTTAAAGATTCTTTAAAACGATAACCAACAAGGTAAAAATTATTTTGAGAAATAGAGATATTCATATAAAAAGTTGGTACTTCGCTAAAAACTCAATAACTTAGTTACTTCCATTTTTTTTAGTTTTATATTGACTACTGTATATGATTAGTTCCAAAAAAATTACTACAATGCTACTAGTTATCTGTGCTATAAATCAGGGGGAATCACAATAAAAGTAGTGATTAATTAAAAAAAGCGTCATACTAAGCATAATGGAATGAATAAGAAATATATAGAAAAAAAAATTAAATTTTCAACAGTTTTTTTTTAATAAATTTTTAGAAAATACAGTCCTATACAGGGTGAGCCTTAAATAAGTGTAAATATTTTTAGGGGTGGTATATATGTATCGACCCCAGGAACACGTCTATGAGGCTTTTTGCGCAAAAAAAGTTGAAAATCGATAAATTAATTAGAAAACGTAGGTATAGGTTAATGATTTCTGAAAATTCGACTTTTCAAGTGGAGAAAGATACGTCTAAATATTTTTCGATACCGTTTGATAGAGAGTTAACCCGTGGTCTAAAAGAAATTTTTAAGAATGTCAATTATAAACTTGTGTATAGTGCTAATAACAAATTACAACAATTATTAGGTAATCCAAAGGATAAACATCTCCACTGGAAAGGTCGGGTATTTATGAAATTTCTTGTAAAGATTGTAATCAGAAATATGTTGGGCAAACTAGAAGATCAATATTAACTAGATTTAAAGAACATTTAGCTCAGATAAGATATGGTAGACCGGATAAATCTTGCGTTGCCGAACATATTGTTGATAAAGAACATTGTATAGATCTTAATAATTTAAAATTAATTAAACAAGTCTCAAATTACAGGCAATTAGATGCATATGAAAGCATCAGAATTAATAAATGTAAAGATAGTATGAACAGAGACAACGGTCCAATTCCTTCAAGTTCTTTGTTCCTACTACTCTAGTGGCGGAAATCTAACTGTTACGCTCAGTTGGCTCTGACTCGGTTGGCTAGTTTTTGCCACGCCCACTCGGTGCCCACTGGGCGAGTATATAAACGCTCAACTTGTAGATTGTACTTTAGTTTATAATCATCTGCTGATGATGCTAACATGGTTAGCGAAACGCGCGTCCAGTGTAAAAGTAAAAGTGTTTTGGTGTATTGTGGTGATTTAGTGTTTTTATTTTGCAGAAAATTACATTCCAAATAAAATTAAGCTTTTGACATTTTCTCTTAAAAAATAGTCATTTAAATTTCAATCTAGAGTGCCATGGCTGTAACGACTAATTTTTAATTAAAGAGCCAGATAAACAAGTCATAGGAGTGAACCACATTTAAAAAACATCCGGTATAGGTCATATTATATCAATCAAATTGTACATTAAATTATATAAAAAAACATGCATTCATACCGAAATTACTTATCTTAATACTACTAATTACTAATATTATTATCAGAATTTATTACCTCAAAAGAAGAGTTACAAAAAGAAGAGTTAAGAAGAGGATAAAAGAAGAGTTACCTCAGTTTTACTTTTACATTTTTTAAGCCTGTTAATTTCAAGAATTTTAAAATATTTTTAATAGGCGCATTCACCATTTCGTCAAGAATAATTTCTGCGTTTTCTGAAAATGCTTTTTATACTTATATACTTATAGCTGTGCTGATAGAATATAGCATGGTATATAGTAATATAGTAAGATAGAATATAGTAAACAGAGTGTTGGCATAACTCGTCCGTTAGAGACAAAAGTTGGCCTGGACATAGTGAATGACAACGCCAATTTTTTTCTCCCATCAGTATGTTTTTCTATTCAAATTCATAGTTTAGGCAATAATACTTAGTAAATAGCAATTCAGGTGTATTATGCTACACAATATTAGACCAATTGCGAATTATACCGTATGATCGAAAAAAACGGCGTCCAGTTGGCTGGGAAATGACAATCGCTGATATTTCCCATATAATTTTGCATATAAAATGACAGCGATCTTCATTTCATAGCCATCGCTGACGCCGTTTTTATTCGATCATACGGTAGTATTGTTTATGCCATGAAAAACGGTTATTTTTATTTGATTGTTTTTGCAGTAATATTTACAGAATATTTACCTTTAATTACTTGTTCAACAATGTTTGCACTATATCTTCTGCTGTTTCAATAAACAATTAGCCAATCATTGTCCTTTGACTGTTTCTTATTCCATTAACCGTTTCATTAGACAACCCTCAATAATTATGGAGTCCTACAAATAAAGATACTATAATATCTAAATAATAACATAAGAGTTTTTTTATTATGGGAAATGGAGGGAAGGATAAATAACATTTAATAATTTTCCTTATATTACTCTTCACCATACTATGAAATAGGTAGTTGCTCTCGTCTGTAAGTTAAGATATTTAACTTAAATAATTCATGTTGTTTTTATGTAATAAAATAGATATATAATACACAGTTGGCTTGGTTTGGATATCTAACTTTTAAAGAAAAAGATTAAATCATAAAAATTTAAAGAAATATTTAATAAATTATACTTTCTGGAAATACCGTATGATCGAATAAAAACGGCGTCAACGATGGCTATGAAATGAAGATCGCAGTCATTTTATATGTAAAATTATATGGGAAATGTCATCGATCGTCATTTCCAAGCCAACTGGACGCCGTTTTTTTTCGATCATACGGTACTTTTTTTTTTAAACCCCTGACTGTTTATGCAACCAACAATACACGTTATATTTAAAACAAATTGAATGTGTATTTGTATTTAAGTGTGCTTTCAAATACAAATTTACAAGTAATGCAATTATGCAATACTAAATATTTTCCACATTTACACAAAGCAACTGTTTATTTATATTGTAATAAAAGTAAGAAATCTTTACCTGTTTGATGGTCCATCATTCGATTTGCAAATACAAATAATTCCGGGATGATTTCAGTTAATTTTGTGAAGATATTATGTAACATTTTGCCTTTTTCCTTGTGTCCATAGAAAATGACTCAAATTTTATATCTATCCTGTAAAATTAAAAAAATATTAATAAGTATTAAGATCGTCATACTAGACATAAATTTAAAGAATTATTTAATATCTGGAAATATATTTTTTTTAAACCCCTGACTGTATATGCAACCAACAATACACGTTATATTTAAAGCAAATTGGATGTATCCATGATGTATCTATTTGTATTTAAGTGTGCTTTCAAATACAAATTTACAAGTAATGCAATTATGCAATACTAAATATGTCATAGAAAAAATATTATCATAGATTTTTGATGCATTTTTTCAAAATTTACACAAAGCAACTGCTTATTTGTAATAAAAGTAAGAAATCTTTACCTGTTTGATGGTCCATCATTTGATTTGCAAATATAAATAATTCCCCAGGAGGATCTCATGGAATTTTGTGAAGATATTATGTAGCATTTTGCCTTCTTCCTTGTATCCATAGAAAATTACTCCAATTTTATACCTATCCTGTGAAATAAAAAAAATATTAATAAGTATTAAGATCGGCATACTAGACATAAACAAATTTAAAAATAAATATTAAAGAAAAAAGCATTATATATATTTATAATTACAGCATTCGAGCAAATACATAAAGGTAGTCAATTAAGTAAGAAAATATAATAAATCAGTAATTAGCTTGAATAAATGATACTGCCAAGATACTAGAATTGATTTTAATTAACAACTTCACTACGACTGAAATAAATAATGCTTTTACTCAAAATAAATTGCTTCAACTATGGTTATACATTCTTTTACTTACCTTAAACGGAAGCAATGATTGACTGATCCCAAGTTCTATTAAACAACCAGAGACTTCCTACGTAACTTCATTCGTCTTTGAAATATACGGTTGCTTTCTTCCAAGAAAATTGAATTCTATTATAGCCCAGAATCCTTTGTAAGTATTAGAATGATCCCTAAAAAACAATAAAAGATATAGATATGCTGTAATAAATGTATATTAAACCAACCAAATGACCGGCATACTAGACATAAACAAATTTAAAAATAAATATTACAGAAAAAAGCATTATATATATTTATAATTACAGCATTCGAGCAAATACATAAAGGTAGTCAATTAAGTAAGAAAATATAATAAATCAGTAATTAGCTTGAATAAATGATACTGCCAAGATACTAGAATTGATTTTAATTAACAACTTCACTACGAATGAAATAAATAATGCTTTTACTCAAAATAAGTTGCTTCAGCTATGGTTATACATTCTTTTACTTACCTTAAACGGAAGCAATGATTGACTGATCCAAAGTTCTATTAAACTACCACAGACTTCCTACGTAACTTCATTCGTCTTTGAAAGATACGGTTGCTTTCTTCTACGAAAATTGCATTCTATTATAGCCCAGAATCCTTTGTAAGTATTAGTATGATCCCTATAAAACAATAAAAGATGTAGATATGTTGTAATAAATGTGTATTAAACCAACCAAATGACTTTATATTAAACTTATGTACCTCTACAGTTCAAATGTTTTATAAGACAATTACAACATTGCAATGAAGAGTATTATGTTTTACCTTTATATTTTATAGTGTGTACTACGCGAGTGTTAAATTTTGAGTCAACTTTAAAAAAAAAATGAGGAGAAAAGTAGAACCTACGAGATAATTCTTTTCCTAATTGCTAACTGTTTAAATATATTTTCAACTAACTGCGTTATTCTCAAGTTTTGCAGATGTGCTTTCGTATTATATATAACTATATATCCATTATCATCAAATATATTGCAGTTAGGTAAAGATGAGCAGAATAAGACCTTAGGAATATTTTGGAATTCATCTAGCGATACAATCCATTATTCAATTAAGAAATTTAAATATGAAGGTTCTATTACTAAAAGAATGATTTTATCTACTATCAGCCAAATATTTGATCCATTAGGACTTTGGCAAGAACAATTAGATTGGGATGAATCTATTCCTTCATATTTATTAGAATATTGGATGGAATTTTGTAATAATATTCAAGTTCTAAATGAATTCTCCATTTTTAGATTTGTGTTATCGGATAATTTCCACGTAACACATCTTCATGCGTTTGCTGATGCATCAGAGACAGCTTATGGCGGATGTGTGTATCTTGTTTATTTCGTCAACGGCGAATATGTTTCTTCTACTTTGCTTGTTTCCAAATCGCGAATTGCCCCTATTAAAAAAATTAGTTTGCCTCGTTTAGAACTTTGTGCTGCAGAACTCGTAACAAAATTAGTTAGAACAGCCTCTAAGCAGATTTAAAATTGAAAAACTTTTTATTGGACTGATTCTTTAATTACCCTAAGTTGGATCAAAGGATGTCCCAGTAGATGGAAGACTTTTGTGGCAAATAGAGTTACAAAAATTCAAAATCTTTCTGATCAAATTGAATGGTTTCACATAAAATCAGAAGAAAATCCTGCTGATTGTTTATCAAGAGGAATTTCATCTGAAAAACTCTTGAATTATTCATTAGGGTGGAATTAACCTATTAACATATTTTCTAATTTGTCTGATAATGTTCGCACTTTCTCAATGCCGACTGCTAATTTACCTGAACAGCGAATTTTTGCCAATTCTACAATTACTGAAGTCGTACCAAATTTTGATTTTTGTCGTTTTTCGTCATTTATGAAACTTCAAAGAGTGTTTGCATATTGTATACGTTTCATTCAATGTTTAAAACAACAAAAGGTACTTTCAGATCGACTCAGTGTTTCTGAGATTATTGAAAGTAAAAATCATTTGCTTCACATGAGCCAATATCAATCATTTTCAAAAGAATATGTAGCTTTAAAAAACCACCAAACTCTACCCAAAACTAGCAAATTACTTTGCTTAAAACCTTTTATAGATGAAACAGGGTTTATAAGAGTTGGGGGTAGAATAAGAAATGCTCAAATATCTGATGAACAAAAATATCCAATAGTGTTAAGCAACAAATGCGCTTTGACTAAAATAATTATGATGTACGAGCATAGTAAATTGTTGCATTGTGGTCCTCAACAATTACTGTATAATATTCGATTACATTATTGGCCTCTTTGCGGCAGAAGATTAGCTCGATCAGTCGTTAGAAATTGTGTAACTTGTTTTAGAGCCAATCCTGTTACATTTAATTATATTATGGGTGATTTACCTGAATGTCGTGTATCTTCTTTCCAGCCAGTGTTTTCTCATACTGGTATTGATTATGCAGGACCTATTTTTATTCGGGATCGGAAAACCAGAAATTCAAAAACAGTTAAAGGTTATATATGTATTTTTGTTTGCATGAGTACAAAATGTATTCATTTAGATATAGTAACCGATTTGACTAGTCAAGCTTTTTTATCAGTTTTAAAAAGATTTGTATCCAGGCGAGGAAAACCTTTACACTTATATTCGGATAATGGTACCACCTTTATAGGTGCTAATTCAGCAATGCTCCAATTTATTAATAAACATTCTAATTATGTAAGTACTTGTTTAGCAACTGAAGGCATTCAGTGGCATTTTATGCCACCCAAGGCACCAAATTTTGGGGGTTTGTGGGAGGCTGGTGTTAAAAGTGTAAAGTACCATCTTAAACGTATAATTCGTGACACTAGCCTCACTTACGAGGATCTCTCAACGGTTTTAGTACAAATAGAAGGGGTGTTAAACTCTCGTCCACTATCTCCATTGTCATCGGATCCACAAGATTTGACTCCATTGACACAGGCACATTTCCTGATTGGAAGACCATTGACTGCAGTTCCGGAAGATGACGTTTCTAACATACTGGAAAATCGTTTGTCAAATTACCAACGCCAACAAAAAATGGTACAACAGTTTTGGAATCGTGAATACATTTCTAATCTTCAAACACGAACTAAATGGTTTTTAAACCATTTAGTTCGTGTCTTTAGACTTTCCAAATACTCTTAAGTTGGATACGTTGGTATTAATTAAAGAAGATAATCTACCTCTATTCAAATGGAAACTTGGTCGAGTTATTGAACTTCATGAAGGTGTCGATAAAATTACGCGTGTTGTAACACTCAAATGTAGTGATGGTTCTTTATGTAAACGTCCGGTTACAATATTATGTGTTCTTCCCACAGAAGACTTTTTATTGAAATAAATATTTCAAGGCCGGCGGGATGTTAGATAATAAGAATTTTTATAATTTGTATCAAGATGTTAAAAATCACCGTTGTCATCGAAACATGTTTATTTAAAAAAAATAGTTTTTTAGTTTTTGATCTGTCAAGATATTATTTTGATTTGTAAAAATAGTATAAATATAATATTCCATTAACAAACGGACTCAAATCAATTTGTATTATACAGTCCACTTAGATAGATTACAATGTTACTAATATAATATATTTTGATTATAATATTTGTATTATAATTTCTTAAAAATATCAAGTTAGTGAATTAATAGCAATTTTAGAATGAATTTTAGACATATATTTTATCGAAGAGTGTGTTGATAAGACTAAAATAAGCTTTATGTTTTATCTTTTTCTCTTTAGAAGGGTGATGGTTTGTGTCGTAGAATACATTACAGTATTTAATATCGTGTACTTTGATATTCTCTTCTTAATTTACTGTAATTTCTTGTTTCCTATAATGCCAAATCTTGACAATATGGTGAAGGTTCAGTTTTGATCTTATTAGTTTTATACCTGTGTTTATACAAGACCAAATTAAGATTTAGTTTGTGATTTATATTAAGATCTTTCTTATAATATTTGTTATGTCTTAATCTTAATACTATATTATGCTTTGTCTGGAAAATAAAAAATATCTTAATTTTGCATATCCTATTCCATCCTTCCATTAGGAAAAATATGGTTTATAAATCACATTATGCTAAGAAAATCACATAAATTAGGTGTAAGAATAGAGAAATCTTAAGGTAGCAGAAAAATTAATGCAATATATGTATAAGCAGAATTAAACAAGGTAACTGTTAATGTTGCTGAAGCTGATTCTACAATTTTAATTAAGGCTAAAAGGCCTTTTAAGGCCTCCGTAGTTTTGATGGAATGTTAAACAAAACCTATTATGAACATAACACGGAGCTACAGCATTTAAAAATTAAAAAAAAAGAAAAAAACTTGGACATATCCCTTTTAATTTCCCGAATTTTTAATAAAGCACTTTTTAAACGTAGTATAATAATCTAGAGCAATTAGATTAATTATAGGAATAGGAGAGTTTTATTTCTATTCAATTTTATTGACTATGAAAATACATCATAAGCGTTAACGTGTTGTGCGAAATATTAAAATAATAATATATTAATAATATACCGGCGTACTATGATTGAAAAAAAAATAGCGTCAGCGATGACTATGAAATGAAGATCGATGTCATTTTATATGGGAAATGTCCTCAATCGTCATTTCCCAGCCAAATGGACGCCGTTTTTTCTATCATACGGTATATATTGACAAAAACCACTGAAAAGCACATATTTGTTTTCTACTGAAAATAATTCCAAAATAACTTGCATCTGGCAACATCGAAGATGTGCGCATGCGTAATGTCTGTGCAGCAAAAACTCATTTATTCGCTCCTATTGGTCGTTTGAAGTGTCAATCAGTGTCGCTGTCGACACGACGCAGTTCTGAGAACGGGGCTTCAGCCCTAAGCCCCGTTCTCAGAACTGCCGCTTGATGTGAAAAATTTGATGTGTTTTCTAACATCGTCGATATTCAATACACGTTAGGTAGTGGGTTGAATTTATTTATGCTCCAGTGAATATTTTTAACAATCTTATTTGTAGTATAACCTATTGGTACATAAAACTTCATTATAGAACAAGACAAGACCACAATAGATCTGAGAATGTCGCAGTGGGTCAGGCCGAAATCAACCTCTAGAAATCTAATCTAGAACAAGACAAAGACCTTACTTGCAAACTACCATACATATCTTTTAAAAAGGATGCTAAGTGTAAGTGAAATCTCTACGTAATCATTCCCTAAAATGTTTAGTGTAGTTTAGTTTTCAACATTTTGCAGCAAGAAGTTTAGATAAATCTACAATATATTATCATCAGACCAAACGAAGGATAATTATTTAAAAGAATAAGTTATGTTATGATACATATATAGATTTGGATGACATCGCTTCAGGTGGTTTTACCAGTCAGGACTAACAGGGATATTAATCAAAACAATGAAAAAAAGCTCAAATAAATTTGATCCTAATAACAAGAATGTTGTTTATGCATATGCTAACTATATAGTTATTTTCATGGACTTAAATAGATTAGTTTTTATGTATTTATTGATAGTAATTAATATTTTTTGGTTCATATTGTAATTACTAATAGAAAGTAAACAATATAATGTAAGCATGTAAAGTTATATTTAAAAATTTGGTCTTATACTGTCAGTTATAAATAAAAGTGTGTGATTTAAATTTGATTTTTATACATGACATAAAATTGTTAAGATTCATTTGAAGTTTTACATATTGTCGAGGTAAAATTATTCCTACTTAATTTATGTATAACAATAATTACAGTTATTTCAATGTTAAATTTATAGCAGTATAACTTTTTTATTATAATGATACTTAAACATTATGACACTTGTTGTTTTAAAAATATAACATTAAATTGCAGAGTAAAATAT